AAATTCACGTTAAGATTATTTGAATACTTCCACAACTGAGTTCATGGGATATAACCCTGTTTATACTGTCTAAACTAAGAACCATTCAATTTCTTGAACAGAAATCATAATGGATTCTATTTTACAAGCCCTTAAATTTTGGGGCATTATTATCCTCAAACCCTTAAGGTTCTAACATAACTACAAGTTACAGCTAATTTGCATACTCTCCTCCCCCAAAATCAGTGCAGGTTATTAAGCTTGACATTACATGACCTTGACTTGTGACTTCCTGCCAGGTTCCCCATTGACTTTTTGACAGAATTTGGTTGAATCACACAGTAGTTAAGCAAATCTGGCTTACCCACTGACAACCTGGTCACAAATTATGATTATATGGGATGCTGCAACCTTCAAAATGTATACTGGCTGCAAAGTATCCTAATCACAATCATGTGATAACTGCATTGGCTGCAAGTTTGAGTACCAGTCATAAACCTATTTTTTCAGTGCTGTATAACTTTAAACAGTCACTTAACTAGACATTTGGTAAGTGAGGATTACCTGTATATTTGCAGTATAGTAACTGTGGTGCAACCTATATTAATTTTTATACTTGCATAACAGGAGTCATCATCATTTTTATTATTACTATTTAAAAATAAAACAAAACTGGAATTTTCACATTCAGGAATAACCAGAAGAATTATTATATATTAGAAAGACAAAATATACCAGAAGAATTGGGGGTTTGGTGTGGAAAGACAAAAAAAGGAGGGGAGGACCGTTGAGAAATTGGTACATAGTTTTAATTTTGGGTACATGATGAATAACCATTACCTCCCCTACTTTCTCTTTTCCCCCACACTATAAATTATCTCTAATTGGGTAATTTGTTAAAATTCTAATTAGATCTAATTTGACAATAAAAAAGAAGCAAGTGTAGATGGGGGACAGACAACAGGCTATTAACTGAACCCTGGCAAGACCAAATGACTTTGGGTTCATGGAGCTTAGTTCTGAATGGGGCTACCCCACCTCAGACAGACCCGGTTCATAACCTGGGGTTTCTCCTGGACTTGCAACTCCTGCTGGAAGAGCAAGTGGCAGTCATGGCTTTGCAGAACTTTGATTGGTGAGCCAGTTGCATCCTTTCCTAGGTCAGGAGTCCCTGCGTTCAGTCATTCAAGCCCTAGTCATGGGGCTACCTATGAAGAGCATTAGAAGGTTTAACTAGTGCACAGTGCGGCAGCATGGGCAGTTCTTGAGGTCCCTAAGATGACACGTTACACCACTACTATGTGAGCTGCACTGGCTGCTGGTCTGCTTCCAGATACAATTCAAAGTGCTGGTTATTATCATTAAACCCCTGAATGGCATGGATTCAGGCTACTTAAGGAACTCTCTTACCCCACTAGGAGTGGTTCGCCACACTAGCACTGGCAGAGAAGGTATGCTGTGGGCCCTATTGGTCAAGGAATTCCAGCTCGCAGGGTGCAGGAGAAGGGCCTTCTCTGCCATGGTTCCTGCTCTATAGGACATCTTACCCCTTGAGGTAAGATTGGCTCCCACCTTTCTGTCCTTCCCCAAGAGCCTGGAGACCTGGCTCTACTAGATGGCCTGTGGCTCTAACGAGGGAACATCACATTGGTGATGGTTGTTGAATTAAGAGGCAATCCTACCTCCCCCCCCCCTGTTCCCTCCCTCCCTATCTTTTAACTATATCTTGATTTGGATTTCCATTTTTATCCTTTTAAAGAAATGTGTTAGGTTTTTAATGTTTTAATTATGGAAGCTGCCCAGAATCGTTTGCTATGAGATGGGTGGCGAATAAATACTACTGTCTCTGAAAGACAGTAGTATTTAATCACATCCATTGATGGAGCTGCAGTTAGGCTATCACGGCTCTATATAAGAATGGCAGCTTATATTTTAAAAAATACATGCTGCCCACAAATATTTTCACATCGATAAAGGAGTTCATGCTGATTTTTCTAACCAGAAATGCATTGATCATACATTCCTCTACTCTATGTTTTATTCAACTAGCCGACAGAAATGTTCTTTAATTCTTTGTGAAGTTTGACTCCAGAATATTGCTTTCTATGATTTAGCAGGTTTTTCTCAGGACCAATGTATCAATTACTGCTCATGATTAATAAAGGCAGTATGTAAGAGTAAAATGAAGGAACAAGATAATGAACAGGCCTTTTTAGGAACATTAAGACATCCTCATGGTCAACTGTTTATCACTGCTGTTTTTAGTATTTTCACCTATTCCTATATTATTTCTTTTGGGGAGGGGAAAGAATTTTCACTTGATCACATCTAACTGAGATAATCCTCATACAAGATGGGATTCTAGTTTATCAATAGGTATTAATCTGTTAACACAGTTATTCTCTCTCTACTATCAATAAATCAAAAGGCCAGCACTTATATTCTAGGAAAAGCATGCATTAAAAAGGCGATATTACTGACAGCTGTCATCATAGAGTTCAAGTATACGTATATTTTCTTTCACATTATAACCATTAACAGGTACATTATGCTTTAACACAAGAATTCTACGTATAAAGTAGTGGTAAATGTATCAAAATCATGCTTTCCATCCTTACATTTGATTTTTGGCAGCTTGTCTCTGTGCTTTCCGTTCTTTCCTTTTCTGATCTGGTGGCTTTGCAAACACAATTTCTATATTTTCTCCTTCTAAATCTTTGCCATTCATTCCTTCCATAGCCTATAAAGAATATAATTTGTAATCATTTTTACCAAAGTAATCTTACAAATATAGCACACAAATTATAAGTACAGTAGGAAAAATACCAATGGTACTATGTAGAACAGAGCCCCCCCCCAATCTTTTAGGCACCAGGGGCCGGTTCTGTGGGGAGAGGTTTTCCCGCGGACCGGAGGGGGCGTGGTTTCGTGTGCTGCCTACATCCCATGGATAGGGCTTCACCCGGTTTCTGGCATGCCTTGGCCTGGTGTCGGTCCACAGATTGGGGGTTGGGGACTCCTGATGTAGAACACACAAGATCACCTCTTCTCTCACTAAAGGCCGTGTCAGTCTATTTCTTAATTTTTCAATGTGTAATATTTAGAAATATTCTCTGCAACCATGAAAACCAAGAATGAACATTAGGAGCAGAATTTCAGTATATTCTGGAATGAATACTAACAAAGGTCATGGTATCCACACTTCATACTTTAATTCATATTTTTTCTTTATAGAAATTGACACTAGCGTAAAATCTGAAGCAAACTGATTTACTTAGTATAATTTACTTGAATTTACTTGTTTACTGTCTTGGCAACAGTTGCTCGTTTGCTCATTCTCAACAATTCTTCAGATTATTCATTAGAACAATGAGAACTAACGGCTTTAAACTGGCACACTACTGAGAGGATAATTAAATCTTCCCTTATTTCTTAGTAACAAACAGAACCCAAACCTGACAACATAAAATTGTAGCATAAATTTTAAGTTTATGGAAGATTTCTGAAGAAATTGCCACCAAGAGTCTCTTAATGATTGTAGGCTAATATCAATGTGATAAATACCTGAGAGCTAGTTTCGTGTGGTAGATAAGGTATTTGGCTAGATACCAGGAGACCACAAATACTAGTTCTGCCTTACACATGAAAGGCAGTTGGGGAACTATGGGATAGTTGTGCCCTCTCAGACCAAACCCACTTACTTAGTTATAGTGGCAAAACCAGAAAATGTATGCCACTTTGAATTCACAAAATCTAAATCTAAATACAAATCTACTAAATAAATGAAACTGGGAATAAAAACATACCTTTACAGCACCATCACGTTCATCAAAATGAATAAAAGCATAATCTTTTAGCTTTTTCACCCTCTCCAGTTTTCCAAACTGACTAAAAGCCTTTTCTAGTATTTCTTCTGTGACTGAATTTGCAAGATTCCGTACAAATAACACTTTCACCTAAAACAAAGCATCACATTAGTTTACAGCGTTACCAGTATATTATTGCAAACAATAAAACAAGCATATATACTAGATAAAGATAAGATTTTTCAAAAAGTAATTGTGATTTGGTTAAGTCATAACTGGACACAAACCAAAATTAATTTACAAATAATTTTCTTATCTGGACTACTGCAATGCACTCTATGAGGGCTATCCTTGAAGAGCATTGGTCAGCATTGGTCAGGATATGGCAACTTAATATAGTTTTCTGTACACTGTGATATTCCTATGTAACACCATTACTGTGTGAGCTGCACTGGCTTCAGTGCATTCAATTCAAGCTACTTGCTATCACCTTGAAAGCCCTACACAGCAAGGATCAAATTACTTGCAGGATTTCCTGTCTCTGATGGTTTACAGTACACGTAGTTCTCTGTTCAAAGTTATGATAATGCTGAACAAATGGTACTCATGCCTGGCCCTTCGTAGCAGCACCTCCCCCACAAGTCACATTAGTTTTCACTAACATGAAATTTTTTACCTAGGCCTTTTGGCAAGGGAAAATAAGACCTTTGCTTCATTCCATCCAGTCTTGTCATTCTTACCAACCTTTTTTCCCTTTTGTTTTTTTTTGGGGGGGAGGGCCGTGATAGCTCAGCAGTTAAGAGACTGGGCTTGTCAGCTAGAAAGCCAGCAGCCCAGGTTCGAAACCCGAGCGCCATGCAATGGAGGGAATGCCTGTCTTCGTTCCAGCTCCTGCCCACCTAGCAGTTTGAAAGCATGCAAACAGATAGGCACCACTTCAGTGGCCACATGACTGGAAATATCTTTGGACAGCGCTGGCTCAATGGCCTTAAAACGGAGTTGAGCACTATCTTCTATAGTCGGCAATGACTAGCAAAGTAAAATCCGCAGGGACTCTTTTATCTTTTTTTCTTCGTTTTATTGTCATTTCTTTGTTCAATTTGTTATGAGCTACCCAGAGAAAGGAGTTGGGCAGCATACATATTTAATAAATATTTTTTATTTTATCAATTTATTATTAATGGAGCTAAGGCAGAGGTCCCCAATCTTTTGGGCACCAAGGACCGGTTCCGTGGAGAAAGGTTTTTCCACGGACCGGAGAGTGCATGGTTTTGTGTGCTGCCTGCATCCTGCAAATGGGGCTTTGCTTGTTTGTGCGGCCCGGTTGCTGGCATGCTGCGGCCCAGTACTGGTCCACGGACTGGGGGGCTGGGGAGTCCTGAGCTAAGGTTCAACAGCTACAACAGAAATGTGAAGATATTATTTGCTTCAGCAAAGTCCCAAACTGATTAGGTGCATGATCCTGAAATAAAAGTGGAACTTAACATCAGTAATTAACAAAAGCCCCACCAGTCACAGGTGTAGAATTTAGTGCATCATTATTTAGATAAATGAAGATATTAAGGCTGAACAAAATAGTAGTTTCTCACTGAGACCAAACAAGTTTAAGTCACTCTCTGAATCTGTGCCAGTTATGACTATTCAGCTCACCAGTCTAGCTTGATGCATGCCCAATCCACTCAGGATTGAAGTAAATTTCAAGGTAACAATGTCTAAGTAATGAACTCTTAAAATACAAAATTCCTCTTTTTATCCCAAACCTATCAATACTATTAGTCTCAACAATTTGGATATAAACATGACTCTACAAGGAGGAGTATTTGCTTCTTTTAAAAGTCACTCGACAGAGTCAATGGACTTGTGAAGACAATACTGGAGCTTTAGAAGGAAATAACACATCCAGGAGAACAACAAATCTTTTCACCAAGTCAAATGCCATTAATGAAGAAGAGCCTTTCTATAAATAAAAGGTAAGCCCAGGATTCAAATCTATCATTTCTATACAAATTAACTAAGTTTCCTGAAAAACCCATAATTGCTAATGCTGAGTCTGAGCCGGTGACGAATCCCTGTAGCTTGTGTTCACTGAAAAGCTTGCTGTAACCCTTGCTCAGAAAAATCAAGGGAGGTAACCAAAGAAAACAGATCACATTGAGAATATAACATAAGAAAATAAACAGAAATTTAAGAACATAAAGTGACAATACTGAATGCTATGCTGTGAGACTTCACTGCCATAGCAAAAACGGGAATGGTGGAAGGTTGACAAAGGGTCCCCCACATTAAAAAATGTATGCGCACACACCTTTTGGCAGGGTCACACCCTGTAGAAAAAATAAAGAAACCTAGTGAACACTGTTTTATCAATGAATTAAGATACTATGAGGTCGAATAAGAAAAGGGCTTAGGGAATATTTCATATTCCAAGGATGAAAATATTTTTATGACATACTGTTAATTATCAAAACTAAAGTATGAAACAGCATTACAGGAGTAACCAATAGTTACTGGAAACTTCTATGAAAACAGATTATAAAATTTGTATAAATTATTTTGTGTAAAACATCCCATTCAGAGCAGGGGCAGTAAATGTTAAATTGGCTATTTTATAGAACAGAATGTATATTTGTGAGTCACAATCTCACAAATCAGCAGAAACAAATGCATGCTATTTTCATTACCCCTGTAAATGTTTACCTTTGCCATCACTTCAGGATCTGGATCTTCTATGGGGTCAGCCCATTCAACTGTAACAACATTACCCCAAACTTTCACTTTTCCACTCATTAACCTACGCCTGGCTTGAGCGGCTGTTTTGTGATCTTCATATTCAAGGAAACAAAAGCCTCTGTTCTTTTTTTTGTCGTCAGGTTGGTGATACAATATTACATCTGTGAGACCCTCTGAAATTGAAGCCAGTCATATACATTTAACTGAAGCATTAATTATAAGTAGAGTATAACAGTTATTAAAAATAAAAAATGACATTGTTTTAATAGCTAGCTTTAACCATTTCCCTTTTATATTTGTTCAATATATTTGCTGCCAAATGGAGACATGTAAGAGTATTACTCGAAGGTACCAGGAGTTTTTATTGTGCTTGTGTTTTTTTAAAAAAAGTTTTGTTTTGTAATATGCCCAGTGTTGTGGTTCATAGTATTGACACCTATATTAATCTTTTATAACTGTTCCTCTCTGCAAAATATACATGCAGAACTATAAAGAAACTGAATTTCCCATCTAAGCTATTGTTTAACAAAGAGAATCAGCTCCAATTTCAAAGGACAAAAGATTAGAGTTCATGCACAAAGCACTTAAATGGGTTTGGACATGGAACCTAATGAAACAGTTAAATCAATAAATATGGTATTTATGTCACACTAAACCAAGTTGGTATACAAGACCACGGAAAAGAAGTTGCTGTGATGTCATGAAATGTTCATCTTCTAAATCAGGCGTGTCCAAACCACAGCCCATAGGCCGCATGCAGTTACACAAGATCTTTTAATATGATGTGATTTATATACATTAACTATGTTACATATTTTATATGTGGTTCAAGACAATTCCTCTTCATTCAATGCGGCTCATGCAAGCAAAAAGATTGGCCAACCATGTTCTAAATGCTTTACAGCTTTTATGACAAGAAAGAACAAAATGTCCCCTCTAAAATGGTGGCTGTTCCAATAGCCAACCAACTCCACTGCCAGAGCATGCAATGTAAATGCTGAAATAAAACTGGGAATGATCTCTCAAACTTCAGCTTCTTAAACAATTCCCATCACTCTCTCTTTGACTTTATCCTTTATGATCTCAGTTTACAATGTCATCATCATCCAACATCAGCCGAAAGATGGTGATTCAAGTTCATCACAGATCACTTTAATAGCAATTACATTACTAGCACTGAGCAACTTACCTGTTACTTTGCTAAATTCTTCTACAATTTGCTCCTTGGTTTTACTCTTAGGTATAGAGCCAACAAAAAGCCTATTATTGGCCACAGAGATACATACTCCAATGTGTTTTCCAGAACGAATTTCATGATTGTTATACTAAAAGAAAAAGTTATATAACAAATTACTCTTGCACCCATTATACTTGATAAGTTTGGCTCATATGCTTAAGGGTCTTGAATGTTGTCCAACTCTTTCTCTTACGTGATAATTTGTTCTCAATTGTACAGACCATCAGAGGACCTTTAGTTACATTTAAGAATGAAGGTACTAAGAACACTAACGACAAAGAATTGTGAGGGAATGTAAAGACTAATAACTCTAGCACAGAATAAACTCCAGTCTACAAACTATTATTAATACAGGTCAAACAATCTATTATTAATACAGGTCAAACAAAAAACTTCCGAAATGCATTTATAACAAGCAGATACATGGGAAAAAATGCAGGGCAATCTTGACCTCAAAACATGGAAAATCTGATACCATCTAATAGTGGCCATCCACATCTGCTGGAACAAGGAAAATACCAAGTGGAATCTGAACAGAGTTAACCTGCCCCTCCTGACTTCCAAAAAGTATGACACTTAGCAACAGACCAAACATTAGCTTATGCTGCAGTAGGATTCCTACCTATTTAAGCTACATTTCATCTAAAGTAAAACACAGGCATTCTTCTGAATGAATGAACAATGAATGAAAGAAAAAGAGCCAGTTTGGTATAGTTAAGTTGTTGCCTAGACCTCCTAGTCATGAAAGCCAGATGGGCAACTTTGGGCCAATCTCTCAGCTAACCTACATGGCAGGGGTCCTGTTGTGAAGAAAAATAGGAGGTGGGACTATTAGGTATGTTCTCTGCCTTGGATGGATACTTAGTAATTTTTTATGTTTTAGTAACTAGATACCTCATTTCCACTGTCAACGGAGGAGGATTAATCTAAAGTTAGAGACAGACTTCATAAACTCACAGGAACCAATGACACATAACGTGATCATGATTAATATTAATTCTTGCTTAGTTCAGGTGGAATTTTCTTACTAGTTTTTAAATAGAGCTCAGTGGGTTTATTTAGGGCTGGCTAATGCTTAGATCAGGGGTGTCAAACTGCCGGCCCGTGGGCCGGATGCATCATGCCGAAACCGCCCCCACCTCATTGCTGGCAATGGAAAAAAAGTTGTGATATGTTGCAACACATCATGTGATGTTGCGAGTTTGACACCCCTGGCTTAGATGGAAAATAATAGAAAAATCCCACATGAAAGGAAAAAAACCCAGAAGGCAACAGTAACAATTCACTCCCATATTGTTGTCAAGAGAACTAACTACATGGTTTTCACCAGAAAGCTCACGTTTTTACTTTTCAGTGTAAATTCCAGAGATTAGGTGGCATGACATAATTCACAAGGAACAATATACAAGTAGTCCTCAACTTATGATGTAATTGAGACTGGAATTATGTTTGCACATCATGTGGTTCTTAAACTGGTCATCATGTGACTAATCAATTTTATGACATTTTTTGGTGATAGTTGTTAAGCAAACCCATTGTCTGCAGTGGGTGTTTTTTCCTGGAAACTGGAAGGCCAGATTTCTGCAAAAAAGGGTCATAAATTGCAGTCACGTGACTGTGGGATGCTGCAAACAGCCATAAATATGGGCTGATTGCCAAGCACCCCAAATGCTAATCACGTGACAGGTGGCCATAGGAATTTTGAATCTAGGTCTTAAGTGCCTTTGGGTGGGGGAGATCATAACGGTGATCAAAAAACTGTAATTTAAAAGTAGCAGAAGTAACTCTAATAGTAATGTAAGTAGTGAGGAACGATTAGACATCAATTAGAAAATGAAATGCAATTCTAAGTCTTAATTTTTATTACAAATGAGAATAGGATTCCTAGAGTACTTAAGTCAAACATAATATTTTGTTCTCAATTGGTTTACTTTATGCTTTTTATACACAAAATATGTTATAGATCTGTGTACAAAATTTTCCTGCAGTAGATCCTAAAAGAGAACATTCCAGAAAACACCAGAGACATGTTAGACCCAATAAATGTAATTGTTGGTCCTTCTCTAATCAAAATACTTTTTCTGTTGTTGGAACTAACAAATCCCATGAATAAAGCACCAGAAGTATTTTTCCCCATACTCAAATTCCATGCTTCCAATGTAACACCAAATAATATGTGCCACCAACCACTCAAATCTGAAGCACCCAAGCTTCTATAGAATTCTATCACTTCCTAGAAAATTCCACGGCAACATAAAAGTCAATGTTTCTTTTACCAGAGAATAAAGCATATTTCTCGCCTAACCATGGTCAAATACTAATTGGATTGTATAACTTTGCATAAAGGACAGAAAACAGCAGCACTATTTAAAGTTATGCAAAAAGGAAAGGTTACATTTAGTAGGACCTTTAACATGTTCACCAATATTTTCACTATTCTGTTGGAAAATTGGTATATGCTTAAATTTACTAATGATCAGTCATGGCACTAGAGAAAAATACTAGTCAGTTTTACCTAATATACAATTTTAACACATTCCTGTAGTTTCTATACCAGTTATATAGAAATGTAACACATTTACTATAAAATAAGCCCAACTGAATTCGTTTCTAAGCAAGCTACTTCTCAGATAGTAAAATGCATATACTGTGTTTTCCCGAAAGTAAGACCTACCCCGAAAATAAGCCCTAGCTTGATTGGGGGGGCTAATATAAGCCCTACCCCCAAAATAAGCTCTAGTTTTGGGGCGAGGCACACACCTAAAAATCAAGCTAGGGCAAGGGTGGGAGGTGGAGCTGCCCCATGTGCCCCACACCCACTTACCTTGCAGCCAAGCCTCTCCTCGCCGGCCCACTTCTTCTGCAGCGTCTTCCACAGCCAGGCTTCCATTTTTTCAGTCACAGGTCTTTCCGGAAGGCCTCTGCAGCAGAGAACAGAGCTATGGATTGAATCTATAGCTCGATACTCTGCTGTATAGGCCTTCCGGAAAGGCCAGCCTGCAAAATGCAGGCCGGAATGCAGCTGCTCCTTCGGCTGCAGAAGAAATGGACCAGCTGGGCAGGGCTGCCGGTGCCAGAGTAAGACACTCCATGAAAATAAGATCTGGTGCCTCTTTTGGAGGTAAAAAAAAAAAAAAAAAAGACCTGGTCTTATTTTGGGGAAACATGGTATTACTGAAAGCTAGAGTGGGATAAATATTGCCCTCTTTAAAAATAATCTGTCATTCCTGGCTTAATATACATTACCTTTAAATAGCTGTATAGCAAAAATACCACACACTGAGTATTACAAATAGAAATGATAAAAGTCTTAAGCTTTAATATGTTCAGTAGCAATATATAGAATTCTGAAAGCCACTAGGTTTAATAATGAATTCCATTCTATACAACATAAGCAGAAGATTAAGACTTTTTTACACAATTAGGAATCACAGCAATTGATTTTAAATTCTCACAGAAAATATGAAAAAACTTACCAATTTAACAGCTTCCTGAGCTGCCTCTTTGTTACAAAAAGTGACAAAAGCATATCCCCTGTTTAGACCTGTCAGGGGATCCATCATTAAGCGGAGATCCCAAATAGGTCCAGCTTTTTCAAATAATGGAACAAGTTCATCCTCAAACAAATCCCTTGGAATTTTACCCACAAATATCTGCAACAATAAACCAAACACATTTTTTTTCAAAAACTGAGATTTAAACAGAGAAACATATTATATTCTCCCCAAATGTTGCATCTCTTACTTCAGTGCCAACAGAAGGCTGTTGTCCTGAATAGACACACTCTGGTGGAGGGCCACCATACTTCCTCTGTCCAGTTGTCACATCAAGTGTATAACCCGTTCTCTCCAAAAGAGCCTTCAAAGAGAGTTATAAAACAAGTACAATCAATTAATGAATAGTAACAAAATATTCCATTAATATAGAGGTATTTATTCTGTAGGTTCTCCAACCTATGTAAAAAGTCTCCCTTAAACCTAGCTTTCCTATTGGGTCATGCAACTGATATGTCAAGTGCGTGTATCTAGCTAATCTAATATCAGAACATAAACCACCTGAGTAAGAACCAATGTAAAGCCAAAAGTAAAATTTTCTCAGCTTTCTAATCTCAAATCTTTTATACAAAGTTCCCCAATTGCTTGTAAAACATCTGAGAACTTGGATTGTGAAAGAAATAATATAACATCTAAAGAAATAATTCTTGCGGATGCCATTTTTTTTCTGCAGAACTAAACTACTAGATGTCTACATGTGTCATCTTACAGTACCCTTCTTCAATTGCCAGTTACAATTCTATATCTTTAGATTCTGGGAGATTTAATTTATGAATCAAAAGATGAAAGATACAGAATCCTTCTTTCAGAGAAATGAAGTTAAGAGAACATGGGTTTCTGGCACAACTGAAGCAGTATGTAGTGCAAGAAAAGTTGCTGTAACTTGTTATGGAACAACATTTTCACTTTCCCTCAAAGGAATTGATAATTGGATGGATATATGATAGAGGCATGCATCCCTTAGACATTATTAAAGACTTCATCCCCTGCAAGCACATACATTTCAATTTCATTCAACAGTATAACTTAGTAATGGAGTAATTAGGAAGGGAAAAAATGGAACCCAAAATAAGAATAAAACAAAAATTAAAAAGTCAAAGGAATGGATCCATACTACGTGTAAATGTCATGTTCAAATTATTTAATCATTTCATTGAGCATTTTACTCTGGGTTTATTCATGACACTAAGAATACTTTTTATAATTTTTCCTGCTAGAACCAGCTGAGATATTTGTGAGATATATTAAAGAGATTCAAGATCAGTGAGGCATATGCTGTTCATTAACTGCTAAAAACTTAGCAATACTGGACTATTTGTACTATCAGGTTGTGTTAAAGTCACAACTGCTGGTTTATACATCAAACCTCAGGTTACACTGCCAATGAAGTGGCACTAAAATTTTATGAAGTCCTTTATATCAGTTATTCATATATCATCCAAAAGCAAGATATAAATAAATCCTTCAAATTATACTGCCATCATAAAGTGTAAAAAGATCAGTACAGAATGCAGATTATACTGTCCTAGTGTTATTTTAGGTTCCTGAAGTACATTATCAATGGCACCTCCCTTAACAGATATAAAAGAAAAACTGGATTTATATGGAAGATTACATGGTAAAATGCACAAGAGACTGCTACTAATATGTATTCCAAATATAAAAACTGAATTGATAATCAGCACTGTAGGTAATATTATGTTTTGAATGACATGAATCTTCAGCGAAAAAAAAACACCCTGTGGTTGTATTCATACTATTATAGCGCCATTGGCTTAAGATAAAGTTTCTTAAAAACATACCTTGATTTTTGCCTCATCTGGTCCTTTGTTGGCATCTGGCACTTTGGTCCCTTGTTTTTCTCGTTGTCTATATGTTTTCATGACGCCACATAAAAAGGCACTTTTGTTCTAAAAATAAATATGGATTGAAAAAAATGTGAACTAAATTTAATCAGTCGAAAATCAAGCACTTTCTGTATATATGCTGAAATAAATTAAACAGAAATACTTCCATGGTACATTACCTGAACATGAGAGAGATCACTGTCTTTAAATTGTTGAAGCACTGCCAGTGCACCTTCTTCATTAAATTCCTTTAAAGCTTCAATAGCTCTTTCATCTAAATCACTGTGAGCAACTAGTCCTAGAAAAAGAAATATTTTATTCAAGGATGTCTCACTTGACTATTATGATATTTGGAAATAAATCTTCTCAAATTAATTACTAGTTATTAATTGCGATGTTGGGGATTTTTCACATACTAAAATGCCAAAAACATTTTCTATTTTATTCCTACTGGAACTTGAATATTTAAGAAATTCTAGAAAAACTTATTGGATCTGAGTAATACTTTTTTGTTCCTAAAACTAACTGATGAAAACTTTCAACCATTCTACTGCACTTCAAAACTATGCTTCAGGACATAAATGAAAACACTGTACTGCCACTACACCCAGGTATCCAAGCAGTGAATCAGAAAGAAGAGACATACAATTACTACTTCACTACACAGTCCTCCAAAGACACACAACTATAGTCCAGTATGACCTATTCCTAAGGGTTTATATTCCAACTGCTTGCCCTCACCACCACCCCTTCACTCAATGCCAAAGGCTACTCTAAACTAATAGAAACATTGCATATTGATATTGATCACCCAAAAAATTTAAAAAAACTGCAGTCCCCATACTTTTTTGTTTGGAAACCACAAAAAGTTGCTATTTTAGCCCAAAGCAAGGAAAGTCCAATAGAAAATAGTGAATTTGCAAGTTTTACATCTTACCTGCAACGTAAATTTCATCTAGTTTTTCAGCAACTTTCTGTGGTAAACCAGCATCAAGCAATGTCTGGAAATGCTCAGAATGGGCAACTGCAGCAGTAGTATCCATGGGCTCTTCAGTACCATTCCCATTAACATGTTCAGAAGCCATGTTTCCAGATATCTGTTCAAACGCAATAAGCAATAATTAAGCTAGAGACCTTAAAAGCCAAACAATTCGGGTGTCAATATATGCAGCTGCCTACAAGGATACTTGCCGAGTTTAATCCATTTTCCCTACCGCTTCTGCAATCAGAAAGCTTGCAATCTTTTCTTTTTTTCCCAAATGAAAGAACCTATAGTGCAAAGCAATATCCTGAAACCACTGCCAAAAACTCTCTGACTCACGTCTCTCTCTCTCTCTGAAGCACGCCCTAGAAAGCTCCGAAGAAGTTGTAACCAGAACAAGCAGCAAACGGCGGGGGGAAAACGGGTAGACACCACCGCCACACAGCCATCCACTCTACCTCCTTTCGCCCTAGCTGCTCTCTACTACCTCTCTCACGAGACCCGTTCCTTGCCTACATTCAAGATGCATCGTCCTCTCTGACAGGGCCTAAAGCCGCCAGGCCGAAGGAACAAAGCGCTCTCTAATCCGCGCCCAAATCGAGGTGGCTGCGGCGGCTGCCGCCATAAGTCTGAGAGAAGAAACACGTGCTCGGCGCGTTCAAATGTCTTACAACTTCCTCCAGCGACCGACTTCCCTTCCCCCCCCACCCCCGGAAAAGCAGCCTTTCCCTCTCACCCCCCCTCTTTTTTTTTCCCTCCGGGAGAAGAATTGCAACACCGCGAGCCCTATTTCGCCACGCGGATTGGGGGTGGGGGTGGTGTGGAAGGAGAAAGCCGAGAGAGAAGGTAAGAGAAGAAAATGAGCGCTCGACATCTGTCCGGCTCTTCCCTCCTCCCACCCCGGAACAATGCATACAAATCACAGCTCCTCTGCCGCCGCCGCCGCCGCCGCCCCGCCATGCGCTTCCAACTCCTGAGCGGAGAGTTCGCGCTCCCAGGCGGACAGCTTCTCTCCGCCGGCCCACCCGTTACGTGACCCCCGAGGGGCAGGCGACAGCCCCAACCCCACCGCCACATCGGCGGCGGCGGCGGCGCCGGGAGTCCCTGCCCTGCTCCTTCCTTCCCACCCCACCCCACCGGCGCCTCGTGGCCAATGAATGGCGCTGGCGCCGGGACAATGAGGCGCTCCGAGCCTGATCGAGGGCGGGCAGAGGCAGGCAAGCACGCGGAAGGGGTCCCGCTTCCACGCCATGCCTTCGGCCTAGCGTAGCCCCCAGCCAGGAGTCCCGAATGCCTTGCAGGCGGTGGCGGCGGCGGCGGCGGCACTCGCTGCACTGGACAGGCCGCTGGCTCAAGCCGTCCTCTTTGTTTAAGCCCCGCTCCATTTTTGGCGAAGGCCGGCTGCCTCCGGGCGCCTTTCCCCTCGCGGTGTCTCCAGCCCGTGCCCGCCGCCTCCTCCTCCCCGGGAGTTTTTCGGGGTCTCCTTTTTTCATGCCTGACTCCCCTCCCTCCCTCCGCCTGACAATCCCTGGCGGCGGCTGACCTGTGTGGGCGAGCGGCGGGGGTGATGAATGGTGAGCGAAAGAGCTCCGGAGGGGGTGGTGGGGGCGCAGTGAAGGAGCTGCCCCTTCTCCGCTCCCTCAGCGTGTCCGGAGAATGTGCAGGAGCCTGCGTAAAATGGCGGCCGCTCGAGCGCTCACGCCGCTGCTGGCACCAGCCAACCCCAGCCCCCTTCCACTCGGCTCAGGCAGGGAGGGGAGAGGCGAGGAGGAGGAGGAGGAGGAGGCGGCGCCGCGCGCGCGCTGGCGCAGCCCCAACGCCGGGGTCTCCCGAGCCGCTCCACAAGGGTTATTGCCCCGCCTGCTGCTGGGGAGCCGAGCTCGGAAGCAGGCGGAAACCAAGCAGCCGGCGCACGCGCGGCTAGGATACATCCCTCGCGGAGCACGTTGCGTAGGAAGTTCATCCTCCTCTTTTGACAGGCACCCGGTGGAGGCTGGAAGGTTGGGAGCCTTAACGGGATTCCCCCGAGATCCTGAGCACTCCCTGGTGCAAATGAATGGTAATTTTATTCTCAGCTGCTTTTGTGACAGGCTCATTTGCCTGTGTGTGGGGGTAATGAATCTTTGTATGGCTTTGTGTTGTATTGCCGAGATCATGAATAAGAATACTAATTACCATAGGTGGCATATAAATATTGGAAAAATTCAATACTGCGGTTAGGGGAAACATCGCATCATTTAGAATGCATTCAGATCATTACAGCAGCCTCCATGGCACCGGGGTATACTCCCAATTCAAGTACAGGTAGTCCTCAAGTTAGGATCACAATTGAGCCCAAAAATTCTGTTGCTAAGTGAAACATTTGTTAAATGAGCTTGCCCCATTTTATGACTTTTCTTGCCACAGTTGTTAAGTGAATCATTGCATTCAAGTTAGTAACCTGGGTTGTTAAATGAATCTGGATTCCCCATTGACTTTGCTTGTCAGAAGTTTGCAAAAAGGTGATCACGTGAGCTCAGGACACTGCAAGGGTCACAAGCCACTTGCCAAGCGCCTGAATTTCGATCATATGACCATGCTGCAACGGTCATAAATATGAAAAATTGTCTTATGTCACTTTTTCAGTGCCGTTGCAACTTTGAACAGTCACTAAATGAACTGTGATAAGTCGAGGACTACCTGTAATTTACATTATTGTTATAAATCAGTTAAGCATTTCAACACAGCAGTAATGAAGCACAATGTGAACACAAACTTCTGCAAATTAGTATTAAAAAGGGCAGCTTTTGTGAACATTTGATTACGCACCATCACGTTTTCCACTTCTAATAACCATATAGAGGGTTTTTTCCATAATCTGTCCCTACCCTGGCCTTTCAGGTCTTCCAAAGATGCACTCATTACCACTGTAACTGAGTGCATACACCTTGCTGCTGGTCTTCTGTACCCTTTTAAACAAGATGCAGTTATGTAGGTAACTGCAACAGCTTCCTCGTTTGTAACTTTCATTCTGACTTTTTAGTGAAAATAAATGCAAGGCAGCTCACTGCAAAATTACAGCATACTGTAAAATCTCTCTCTTTGTACACCAGAACAATTTTTGAATCAAACTACAGTAAAACCTCCATAGTTGATGACCTCCCTACATTGACAACCTCCCTAAGTTGATTTAATTTTTGTAGACATACATATGCTATGTGAAAACAGAAAACCAACCTCTCTATGTTGATCACCTCTTAAGTAGTATCTTGACCACCTGAACCTTCACACATGGTATTAATTTATTCTCTATAACTTGACCAGTTGAGTCGTCTTCACTAAGGGCAAGAAAAGTGAAATGCAGAATTGGTAGCAATTTGAATTTT